GATCGACGATTGTTATCTAAGCCGAAATTTTTTTAACATGAAGTCTGAAGCTGGTTTTATTTAAAACCGGCTTAAATTGACTTTAACCGGTTTTAATATATGACAAATAAATAAATAATAATAAAAATATAAATAATAAACTTACTCTGATTCCGCATAAGTAGTCACAATATTTGATTGATTACGAATTTCAAGAGTAGAGATGAATTGTGATGTAACCGTTGACGGGCTATACATGTTAAGAGTTTCTGTTTAAAATAATAATAATAATAATAATAATAATAATCAATAAATTATATAAAACTATTAATAGAAAATAATAAATTTGATTGCTTACGAATTTTTGTTGTAAGTCCATAATAATTAACCATACTCTTTTTTGCTTTTGATGCAACTGATAAAACCCCACGTTTTGTACGACTATCAAAATCTTTATGTCTAACTCGTTCTAACCACATAATTTGCCTCTATTAAATAATAATGCAAATATTTATCAATACCTCAAGAAAAAAATAAATAAATTGTTTTGAGAAATTAAGTTTCTTTTTTCTTAAATATATTCACTTAAGTAAAGAAACTAAGATAGTTAATTAATTAACTTTATTACCTGGTTCGGTGAGAGTAAGTAAAAATTACCAAGTTCTACTAGAGCATCACTCAACTGACTATTATCATTATTACTACTGGTAATAGAATCTGTATCAATAAATACTATTGTTGGGTATGATGCTGTGATTAGGCTAGAATCATTTGTAATCGAATTATTGGCTGAAAATCGGAAATTAAATCCAGTGGGCAGATCCGGATTAGTTCCATCAGTAAAATTGGTACCAGGATCAGTGAAAACATAATATGTGTTAGGTGGATCAACGATAGTAAATATTTTATTATCGCATGAGGTAGTACCATTAAGACTATCTACGAAAAGCAAATAATAAATTAACGAATAATGAAAAAATAATATGAATGGAAATTATAATAAAAAACATCTTACTAAGTATGTAAGAACAATTAATAATAATATTAGAGTAAACCGTTGTATCAAACACCATAAAGATAGCTACCAATTATATAATTAAAATATTAGTTACTATTGCTGAATTATCAGAATGAATTACTTAAAAATTAAAAATTTACTAGGAACTTCAATATTCTCGTGTGATTTGGATATTACAAGAAATGGTGGACTAAGAAAGCTCTTAATAAAAATATAAATGAAATATCCAATACAAAAATAAACAAGAATAAGTGAAATAAATCTGGTCCAACGATAACATGGCGGTTCTCTAGGTGTTTCATAACCCTTATAATCATCATCTACACTTGGAAACCAATAATTGACAACCTTATTCCATAATAGACCACAAGATCCTTTTTGTGCCATTTATTTTTATTTTTTTTGAAATTATGTAAAGTCGAAATATTTTGAAAAAGGAATTTTGGCTTTAAAAAAAAAAAAAAAGTACGATGAATGGGTTTTTATAAGGCACATTAATATAAAATATATAATAATATTAAGCACTAAGATGGGTCGGAATTTGATAATATTCTTCGTAGTTGGCTGAGTACATATATATTTCACTCCCATCCGTATTTACCTGTCTTCACTTGTTTTCTTTCTTATTCATTGCTTGTCGATCACGATCATTAGTAGGAGCCACATTTCTTTAAAGATTTATAATTTCGACTTTGCTGCTTTTTCATATATGATTATTATGCAATGTTAGAGATGCGATCAGTTATCCGTTATCCGTTTTCCTATTTAAAATTTAACGGATATCCGGATACGTACCCGGATTCTTAATAATAATTTTTTGTTATAAAATTAAACTGTCGGATATCAGAAATCGCATCTCTATGCGGTGTAATAATTCTTTCCACATTTATTTATATTTTCCAGAAATCGACAGGTAAGAAAATTGATAATCAATGATCGTCAGTGACTTGAACAAGTAATGCTAAATTTAGCCTCGATTTGACGGTAATTTGTGTTCAAAGGAATTACGTAGTTGAAAGGTAAGTATTATGATAATATTTGGTAATCGAAGGCTAGATTAATAAAACAGACTCGAAATATGTAATAATCGTTTTGAGTTAGGAGTTTTAG